CCAAACCCCTCTTCAATGTTTAAACGTCGATTAGTCGCACTCAAGCTCAAAAAATAACAAGAGACCTGACCAACACAACCTTCAATGCTTTCTTATTACCAAATGCTGCAACTGGTTAAGACTTAAGAATTGAGATTAGAGCCGCTGAAAGAAGGGGAAGGACTTAAAGAATAATTAATCATCACAAGGCAAGACAACCAAAAGAATGGATCAAGGTTTTCAATGTCATTGCCAACTAAAGAAGCCCTTTTAATATGATACAATGAGGTTCTTTTTCAGCAGTTTGTACCTTTCACTAAAATCTACTTCAACAGGTGAATTCACCCTCTTGGCATTCTTTAATTAGTCCAGAGCTATTCTGCATGGAAAAGAGAAAGAGACATTATGCAACACATGACAAAACAAATACTATGATGATCTATTCTATTCGCTCTTGGTTAAAAAAACACCAAAAGTATATACTAGCAACACTCAACAGAATGCAACGCCAAATAAACTTGGTACATCCTCACAGATAAAAAAGGAACAGGAACGCAAATAAATGATATAATAGAACTCTCACGACTAACGAGAAGATTAATGATACCATGTTCTTGTTATTGCTTTTTGATTAACTTGCTTGCGATGAACATTACATTTCCGTGCTAAACAAGCATTCTTTTATTTCGCCCATTCTGGGATTGGAAAAAATACATCGGCAAGGAACATTATCCCTAAGTAATTCTTCCATTTTCTACTTTATTTTTTGATAGCTAACAGGCACAAAGAACTTCTTTCTCTTTTTTTGATAAGCTCAAGCTAACGAGCAAGAAAACGGATGCGCTAAGAAGCAACTTCGTACAGCTGCTGCGAGGGACACTAAAAACCCATGTAGGAAACTGCTTTATCCAACAAATGCAAATCGTTCAATATCTGAAATACTTCAAAGCATGTCTTCTTTAGTCGTAAACACGAACCTCATTAACACCTAATGGCCTGAAAAAGGCTGCCCAAACAGCTTTTGACGCATATAACTAGTCAATGTTCTTCTTTTACTCCGAAAAAGTGAAAATTTGTAATGCAGATGCAAGTATGATATGGACCATGTATAATAGATAGCACAGATGGAACACTTGGGCATGCAATAAAGTTCTTCAATTGGTGGGATATGGCAGGATATACTTCTGTACCTCAGATATTTCACAAAAGTAAGCAAAGGATCCCTCCAAATTCTTAACTGCAACACCTGAGGACAATAATTAAAGTAGCACATGCCAAAACTTCAGCCTGCAACCCTTATTGCACCAATTTCGTCAATTTTTGAGCTCTTGTGCTGCAACATTTCAAGATGTAAGGATATTACCATTAGTATAAGGTGAAGGTACAGTCTCAATATAGTGAAAAGACCACCCCCATATAATGAGCTCAGAAACAAACTTAACATTTGCAAAAATCATATTGAACACAATATTATCTTACCTTGTTTCTCTTGTGTTTGTGAACATTATTAGCATCCTCCTCACCATCATGCTTCCTTTTCTGATATCATCAGAAAGATCATAATCAGTGAGGTCATACAAAAGTATAATCACATTTAATACAGTGAATTGCCACTATAGCTGTTTGCTAAAGTCCTAAAAGTGATGCAAATATGGGCTTAATTTCTACAGCAAGAAGCGATTCCAACAAGCCAGCACAATTGCTAAGCTCCACTAGACCAAGACCTCAAGTCAAGCAAAAAAAAAAGTTACCCACATTTGTCAAATAAAGAAAAGTTATGAGTGTCAACTTCTCACAAATTCACTACGTAGCACAAATTCATTATAAAGCATACAGTAGGATGAGAGAAATCAACAAACTCGGACTTGAAGCTACTATTGCAAGCAAAAGACGAGTCAAATTTATGACGGCGTAGAAAAAATCTCGTTAAACTAAATCAAACGGCTATTTTTTGCCACAGTAACTGAAAACTGAAAGTCAAACAACAATTGATTCCTCCACAAACTCTGAGCAAAGATATTCCTAGAAAACTAAACCTAATGCCCTGAAATCTATTCTACTGGAATCCCATAAATGCAACTTATAAGCTACATCACAAACGATGTAGTGAAAGTTCACGACAACAAGAGGAACAGACAGCAGGATTCTAGTGGTGCCTACTACAAAAGTACTACTGTCAGTTTTAAGTAATATCATTTTCGGTAAACACAGCATTGAGCAAATTATTAAGAGGCTTTACTGTGAACCAGTCTTCTAAACTTCTTGAATATGAAAGTACCACATGATATTCACAGTATACCGCATGCCAGGAGAATCATCGTATGAGAAAGTAATATCATTTTCGGTAAACACAGCATTGAGCAAATTATTAAGAGGCTTTACTGTGAACCAGTCTTCTAAACTTCTTGAATATGAAAGTACCACATGATATTCACAGTATACCGCATGCCAGGAGAATCATCGTATGAGACAGTAATATCATTTTCGGTAAACACAGCATTGAGCAAATTATTAAGAGGCTTTACTGTGAACCAGTCTTCTAAACTTCTTGAATATGAAAGTACCACATGATATTCACAGTATACCGCATGCCAGGAGAATCATCGTATGAGACAGTAATATCATTTTCGGTAAACACAGCATTGAGCAAATTATTAAGAGGCTTTACTGTGAACCAGTCTTCTAAACTTCTTGAATATGAAAGTACCACATGATATTCACAGTATACCGCATGCCAGGAGAATCATCGTATGAGCATAACTCTTAAAGTTTGCTAGTAGCAGACCTTTTCGTGATGTTTTTTTGAATGGTCAGCACCAGAATCATGATGCCCAGTTTTATCTTTCTTTTTCTCTTTATCCTTGTCTTTACTTCGATCTTTATGACGGTGTTTGTGCTTCCTATGCTCTTTGTCCTTCTCCTTGTCTTTATCCTTGTGCTTTTTATGCTTCTTATCCTTGTCTTTCAACTCACTTTTAGACTTTCCAGCTACAGTGGGAATTCCTTTCTCAGACTATGAAACACCAAAAATACCTATTGATCAGCAATTACTGGAACAGGCAAATTGGCAATATACAAAAGCATAGGGTTTGAAAAAAATCCAGTTCATGGTCTCCAGCTTCAGAGATCAGAAAGGATTAAAAGGGTTACTTCAATATGCTGAATCAGATGTAATCATAAACATAACTCAAGCTTCCAAAGTAGATATCTTACAGGAGGCAGATCAATTGGAGCTGTTTCACGTAGTTGAAAAGCTTCCCTAAGAACATCTAAGTCGAATGATTGGATGCGTGAATTTGACTCTTTTGAAGACGAAGTATCCTGTATAAGCTGATCCAACTGCATTCCTTCCCCTTTCCTAATTTCTGTGTCTCCCACCACATTGTGAAGATAATGTGTATCTGAAATTGACAATGAAAGAGGTTTCTTGCAGAAGAACTCGTGATGAGCCAACAACTTGAAGTGAGTGATAAGATCCACAGCACCTGTAAGTTCTCTTGGCCCTAATAATGTATTTGGACCAATCAACCACAGTAAGCCAATTTAAAAGAAGATATTTTAAGGAGAAGAAGATCAGAGAGTCAAATGCTTTATTTTTAAATTCTTCATATGAAATCTGAGAGATGGGTCACAATTTTTACAAATATATCTTGGAACAAACATGCAACACAAGGCAAAGGACTCACTACTATTTAAAGTCAGATCTCAAATTTATTGCTAAATGGTAAGTCTGCTATGCAACTCACAATTCAATAGTTTGAATTCCTCTGTGTTTTGTATTACATCCGTTTATAACAACAACAACAACAACAACAACAACAACCCAGTATAATCCCACTTAGTGAGGTCTGGGGAGGGTAGTGTGTACGCAGACCTTACCCTACCCTTGGGTAGAGAGGCTGTTTCCAAATAGACCCCCGGCATCCTTCCCTCCAAGAACTTCCCACCTTGCTCTTGGGGATACTCGAACTCACAACCTCTTGGTTGGAAGTGGGGGTTGCTTACCATCAGAGCAACCCCTCTTGTCTATTACATCCGTTTATCACTTCCAATATTATAACTCGTTACACTGGAACATGCAACACTGTTATTCTCTCTCCTCCGCTTTCTGTATTATCTTCATTTGTCACCTCCAATATCAGAACAACTAATGCTAAGTACTAAAATCTTCACTTTTTTGGTTTGATTCTGCTTCACAAACTAAGCCCAATATTCTTTTTTGGCAATCACAGCTTTTAGAGCACCTTAACTGTTTGCAAATTGTGAACCACTTTGGCAAGGCTTCAATCAATTTTTAGTTATTTGTGAGATCTTGTTGTTGAAGTCGTAACCCTAAGAATATAACTCTAACAGCCAACATCATCCAAATGTTGAAGGAAGAAGCTGGATAACACATTGCTTCCAAAAGCTTCAGAACTTGCATTGCTAATGATTTTTTTTTCTTTTGTTAAATAAACGACAGTTGTTTCATTCTTGGGATGAAAATGATATTGGCAAATATAAGTCGGCAGTAAATCATGAATTCCTACTTCCTGAAAGTAGAAACAATAGCCCCCACAAAAGGAAAAAAAAGGAAACAGAAAACAGAAACTCCAGAGCAAATAGATCACGTAGGAAATTCACATAGTAGTACTGATCAACTACTCCCTCCATTCATTTTTTACTTGTCCACAATGGACTTTGCATTCTACTTAAGAAAAAATAAATAAAGTACATATTTTACTATAATACCAACAACAAAATACACAGTATTATCCCACGCCATGGGGTCTGGAAAGGGTAGTGTGTGCGCAGACCTTACCCGTACCTTGTAAGGATAGAGATGTTATTTCCAATAGACCCTCGGCTCTTTACTATAATACCCATAATAATAATAATAACATTTTAAAGTCTTGAAAAATAATTTGGGGATTAATAGTTAATGATAAGGGTAAAAACATGAAAGAAAATTTGTCTTTCTTGATTTTCTAAAATTGACAAGTAAAAGTGATACTATATTTTTAATATAGTGGACAAGTAAAAGTGAACGGACAGAGCATAATGCATTTCACCTTAAATAAAAACCTAGGCATGCAACAATGACCCAAGTAGAGTCAAATGTCTACGATAGTCATTTTACCCTAACATGCAAAAAAGACTATTGAGAAATCACCGTAAGAATCATACCTCTTCCAAACGTCTTGCTGTCCGGATCCATCAATTAGTGCCCAGCACATGAATAATTCATTATTTCCTGGAAAGTATTGGGGCGTAAGACAATTGTACACAACTATCTAGCCAAGCAATAGTTTACTCTACTTATTGGACTAGAATACAAACAAAATGGCAATGGATATACACAAATTATACATCTTTTGCACCTCCTAGTTACCATAACAAAATTGTTGGGAATAAAATTAGACCACAAAAATAATATTCACAATATTAGTGATAAACGCGGCACACTAAGTTATGGTTAAATCATCAAGAATAGAAATGCAACAATAATGACACCAACATTAGGTGGAAACCTTTCTGAATAAGGGAAAAACCACAGTCAAGAAGAGCAACTGATATCACTATAGCAAGGAATTTTACACTGTGCAGTAACGAGTACAAATACTCCTAAGACCAATACGCCCTCAAAAAAAACATTCTTTTGTTTTTTCCACCTCACTACAATATCTCTCACACTCTATTTTTCTTCACAGACTATTTTCTTATAGTCGAATATCTTATTCTCTCTTACTCAGATGAATTATCTAAGATTTTGGTGTGTGGAAATGAGGGTTGAAGCTCTCCTTTTATAGCCAAAATCTCACTCTCTAAAGCCTAAGATATTTGCCAATTTGCACAATTTCAACAAGGTTGGCTACCAAACCAAACCAAGTCAATAAGATTGGCTACCAAACCATATCAATTCAACAAGGTTGGCTACCAAACCAATACCAGTTCAACAAGGTTAGCTACCATACCAAGTCAACAAGATTGGCTACCAAACCATACCAATTCAACAAGGTTGGCTACCAAACCAATACCAATTCAACAAGGTTGGCTACCAAACTTTTTGAATGAGATGGACACCATCAATCTCCCCCTCCAGTCTCATTCATCTAGAGGAGGTAGCACTGTCTTCTAGTTCGAGTGCATGCCGACAAGTTCTTTGCATAGCTCGAACTTGTCTCTTGGTACTACTTTGGTCAACATATCAACAGAATTTTCACTCATGTGTATCTTTTTTACCTGAAGTACTCCGTTCTCCACTTGCTCACGAATGCAATAATATCTGACGTCGATGTGTTTTGTTCTCACATGGTACATGGAGTTTTTGCTTAGGTCTATTGGACTCTGACTGTCACAGTAGACAACATACTCCGTCTGTTACAATCCAAGTTCTTGAAGAAATCTCTTGAGCCATATCATATCTTTGCCAGCTTCAGTAGCCGCAATATACTCCGCTTCAATAGTAGACAGTGCGACACACTTCTGCAACTTCGACTGCCATGATATAGCTCCCCCCTGAAAAAGTAAACAAATTTCCAGTAGAGGATTTTCTATAATCAAGGTCACCTGCCATATTAGAATATGTATAGCCCTTCAAAATTGGATTTGATCCTCCAAAATATAAGTATTCATGTGAGCTTCCTCTTAGATACTTGAGTATCCACTTTACAACTTCCCAATGCTCTTTTTCGGGATTTTTGCAAAATCTGCTAATAATAACGACTGCATGAGCAACATCTGGTCAAGTGCATACCATTGCATACATCGAACTTCCGACGGAGGAGGAATAAGGAATCTTGGTCATTCTCTCTTTTTCCTCTGTTGTTGTAGGACACATCTTCTTGCGCAACTTCATATGACCAGGAAGGGGTGTGCGTACCAACTTAGCACTCTTCATATTGAAGCGCTTCAGTGCATGTTCTATATACTTCTCCTGTGACAAGGCTTCCTTTCGTTTCTCGAACGAGTAATTCTCATGCCCAAAATCTGCTTAGCATGACCCAAGTCTTTCATTGCAAAAGACTTATTCAACTGTTTCTTCAACTAGTCAATCTTGGAAGCATTCTTGCCCACAATCAACATATCATCTACATATAGCAAGGGAAATAAAGTCATCATCAGAAAATCTTTGTACAAACACACAGTGATTTGAAGAAGTCTTTTTGTAGTCTTGCTCCCCCATAACAAACTCAAACTTCTTGTACCATTGACTGGGAGCTTGCTTCAATCCATATAGACTCTTCTTAAGTTTGCATACAAGATTTTCTTTACCTTTTGCCTTGAAGCCCTCAGGTTGTTCCATATAAATCCCTTCTTCTAAGTCACCGTGAAGAAAAGCAGTTTTCACATCCATCTGCTCAATCTCCAAATCAAGACTAGCAGTCAAACCAAGAACTATCCGAATGGAGGGCATTTTCATGACAGGAGAAACTATTTTGTCAAAGTCAATACCTTTCCTTTGACCAAATCCCTTGACAATCAATCTAGCTTTGTATCTGGGCTTCAAACTATGTTCTTCATCTTTAACTTTGAACACCCACTTGTTCTTCAAAGCTCTCATGCCCTTAGGCATTTTATTTTCACCAGCTCATAAGTATGGTTCTCATGCAGAGATTTCATCTCATCTTGCATGGCTTCAATGCATTGATCTGTGTGCTCATCTTCTATGGCCTCTGCATAACATTCAGGTTCTCCCCATCAGTGAGTAATGCGTACTCATTCTAGAATAACGGGAGGAAGGAGTACTTTCTCTAGAAGACCTCCTGAGTGGAATATCTAACTCATCCACAGCTTCGTGAGTAGGATTATCTACCTCATCAGCATTAGCATTGCTATCACCATTACCATTAATATGCTGATCTGGAATATGATTCTGGGCATTACCATCATCATTGAGCCCATCAACGTCATCCGCATTTGTACGAGGAACTTGATCAAGATTAACTAAACCTTCAGAACTTGGATTGTGAAAGATAGAGTATGTTGTCTATTGCGACAGTCAGATTGCAATAGACCTAAGCAAAAACTCCGTGTACTATGCGAGAACAAAATACATCGATGTCAGATATCATTGGATTCATGAGCAAGTGGAGAACAAATCACTTCAAGTCAAAAAGATTCACAAGAGTGAAAATCCTGCTGATATGTTGACCAAAGTGGTACCAAGAGACAAGTTCGAGCTATGCAAATAACTTGTTGGCATGCACTCAAACTAGAAGACAGTGCTACCTACTCTAGATGAATGAGACTGGACGAGGAGATTGATGGTGTCCATCTCATTCAAAAGTTTTGGTAGCCAACCTTGTTGAATTGGTATTGGTTTGGTAGCCAACCTTGTTAAATTGGTATGGTTTGGTAGCCAAGCTTGTTGACTTGGTTTGGTTTGGTAGCCAACCTTATTGAAATTGTGAAAAGTGGGTGCAAATTGTCAGATATTGTAGGTTTTAGAGCGTGAGGTTTTTGCTATAAAAGGAGAGCTCAACTCTATTTTTCTTCACATACTATAAAGAATACCTTGTTCCCTCTCTTACTCAGATATATTGTTGATTAATAGTGTCCATCTCATTCAAAAAGGTTTGGTACCCAACCTTGTTGAATTTGTATTGGTTTGGTAGTCAACTTTGTTGAATTGGTACGGTTTGATAGCCAATCTTATTGACTTGGTTTAGTTTGGTAGTCACCCTTGTTGAAATTGTAAAAAGTGTGAGCAAATTGTCAAATAGTGTAAGCTTTAGAGAGTGAGATTTTGGCTATAAAAGGAGAGCTTCGACCCTCGTTTCTACACACCAAAATCTAAGACAATACATCTGAGTAAGAGAGAAAGCAACATATTAGTCTGTCAAGAAAAATAGAGTGTGAGAGATATTGTAGTGAGGTGGAAAAAGCAAAATATTATTTTTCTTTTGAGGGTGTAGTGGTCTTATGAGTATTTGTACTCGTTATAACACAGTGTAAAATTCTTTACTATAGTGATATCAGTTGTTCTTCTTGGCTGTAGTTTTTTCCTTATTCAAAAGGGTTTCCATGTAAAATCTTGGTGTCATTATTGTTACATTTCTATTCTTGTTGATTTAACCATAACTTAGTGTTCCGCGTTTATCATTAATACCTTGAATATTATTTTTGCGGGTTTATTTTTATTCCCAACAAAAATTACTTTACTTGTCAAAAAAATAGATATATACAAATTAACGAATGTAAATAACCACAATGGTGAACCAATAGAGCTCATCGATTTCAGTATCTTCCAAATACTCCCTCATAATAAACATGACCTGCTTTTACTAGTCGGAAATTCAAGCATAGAATGCTTGAATTGATATTATATTGAGTTTGGTAAAGATGTGTTTAAAATTATAGTTTCAAATTCTCATTATTTGACACATTCCCGTATCAATCAAATCTCAAGAGTTTATATATAAGAGACAACTATAATACAATAAAAATAAATATTTTCAAGAATACAATCAAAAAGAGGACTCCAAATTTCCAAATACAATATAGAGGAAGAAAAGCATACTCGATCTGAGAAGTAAATTAGGGTTCCGACGAAGCACGAAACTCGTTTATCCTCCAATTGAAGCAAGAAATTGAGTATATAGAAGAATTTGATGATTTAGGGTTTTGCAATTTTAGAATGAATTTGGATCTATGGATCTTTGTTGAACTGAAAATAAAAACCCTAATTTTCCCGTTTCGCGGAGTTGAGATGCTATTGGCTAACGGCTCAGGAAAGAGGGAAAATGGACCTCTGTTTTTAATTATAGTGTCAACCTATTATTATTATTTATGTCATTATTTTACGTCAATTAACCCTGATTATGCTTAGGCTCAGAGGGAGTTTTGCGTCATTTAGGAAAGGTTTTTTCCTTTTTTTCTTATTTTTCAAGTGATACAACAACATATCTAGTATTATTTCATACCGTGGGTCTAAAAAGGATAGTGTCTATGTAGACACTCGGTTCAGAATAGCATAAGTACCACATTAATGAAAATATAGGGAAGAGGATAGCACCAAAAAGTCATATAAAAGTAGAATAAAAATAACAAGACAGTAAGGTGAGCAACAATGAAAGAAAACAATGGTTAGTCATAAATATCTACTACGAACATATAACGAGATTGTATGCCAATACTACTGTTATGAACACTCTAGACTATCAAATGGCAAAGGTATATATTTAGGAAGGATTTATTTGTCAAAAAAGTCATTTAGGACAATTCTTTCTTCTTGTGGTGTCATTTAGGAAAGCTTTTTTTTAAGTATTTAATACTTTGATTGGACTAATAAAACCAATAATATTATTTATTTTAAGTATTTAATAGAAATTTGATTGGACTAATAAAACCAAACGAGTAATAAAACCAATAAGGTATTAAATGTTGAACGTGTGATATTAATGTTCAAATTATGACTTATTGACCAGTGGATTGTACTTTATATTTATTTGAATATAACCTTGATCCAAAGACCCATAGTGCCAGATCAAAATTTAAGTTTTACAGGTTTAACTCATAAAATTCTTAGCATTAAATTTGTTATATTTAAATTATGGGCTCTTGTGTTCTTAAATTATAAATTTATATCGAAAATATTAGGTTCGGATGAATCTAATGTGCAACTTTAGACTCGCCTTCGTTGAGATAGGGCTAATATTTTGAATCATACTTGATAAAGTCAAAAAGAAAAAGACGTTTAAGTAGAATCATTACCAAGTTAAATATAATAAAGAATGAAGTTATTCAAGATAAGGTGGGTGTGGCTCCCGTGGAAAATAAGATGCGAGAGATAAGGTTGAGATGGTTTGGACATGTTACAGAGAAGTACAAAAGCCCATGTTAGGAGGTTTGAGACGTTAGCCTTAGTGGGCATTGGGAGATGGGGTAGAGCTAGGCCAGAGAAGTCTTAGAGAGAGAAGTGATTAGGCGGGACATGGCGCAGCTAAGAACTTACTAAGGACATGACCCTCAATAGAAAGGTATGACGGTCGAGAATTAGGATAGCAGGTTAGCAGGTAGCAAAGCGTTCTCCCTGTCTTCTCAGTTCTATAACATTAGTGTCAGTATAATATTTCTTTAGAGTGCTATTACTACTTAGGGCTTGTTTGGTACGAGAAATATGGGATAACTAATCCCGGAATTAAATCTGAGATGAGTTTATCCTACGTTTAGTTGGAATAAAATAGTAATATAACTAATCCGGACATAAGTTATACAAGGATTATAGTGTTTTTTATCCCCATAAAAGGGTGAAATAACTAATCGGAGAAAGATTGATCGTGGGATAACTTTGTTTCCCTACCGAACAATCCCTTAATGTTTACTTGCTCCAGAATTCTTTTCGCCCTTTCTTTCAAGGGTAGGGGTGACCTTCTTTCCGAACAATCCCTTAATGTTTACTTGCTCCAGAATTCTTTTCGCCCTTTCTTTCAAGGGTAGGGGTGACCTTCTTTCCGAACAATCCCTTAATGTTTACTTGCTCCAGAATTCTTTTCGCCCTTTCTTTCAAGGGTAGGGGTGACCTTCTTTCCGAACAATCCCTTAATGTTTACTTGCTCCAGAATTCTTTTCGCCCTTTCTTTCAAGGGTAGGGGTGACCTTCTTTCCAGGGTAGGGTACAGCGGCATACATCTTATCCTCGTACACTTGTATTAGTTGTTATTACTAATTGTCTTATTCTAAGTCATTTAACCAAATAGAATAGGATTTAAAGACACTAACAATATAAAACAACTTGACACTGATAGTATAGCTTAATTTTTTATTACAAGTTACTTGCTTTATTTTCAGAAAACTCGTCTTACTATCACGAGTATTTGCAGTTTTCTTTTTGTTGACTTGATAGTGCAAAACTTGTAAAGAAGTTAAAACTTCAAAGGAATGAACAGATGAAGCAAAATATAAACTCATACATCGTCACTTTGGTGAAGTCTCATTCTACCAAGCATGCAAAACTGAGATTTTTACTTAGTAGAAAACAAGAAAAGAAAAATATGATAGAAAAACCATAACGGGCAAGAATCCAAAATTCTTCTTATGTAGTAAACTAATCATCGTCTTCCTCGTCATCGTCATTTCCAGCAGCAGCATTCAAAGCATTGAGTCGTTCGATCAACCTAGCTTTCCTCTCGTCATAAGTTAGCTTCTTAAGGTTGTACCTACAGAACGGTCCCAACATGAATAAAGTGAGAAAAGGAGAAGAAAGATTTCCATCATCTTTAACAAAAAGCAATGGAGTTGCTGTCGGCCATTAGAATCTAAGTATCATAATCAGTGGAGTCGTTGATGTGTTTAACATTTTCACTCGTGTCACTCTAGATATAGACCAAAGACTACCTAAGAAACCTTTCAGTTTATAATGTTCACCGAAATAAATGATGCAGAAAGGCTAATAATGATTGATCAATTAAACCAAAGAAAAAATCTCAAACCTCTTGCGCTGCTTAGGAGGTTGCTTGTCAGACTTCTTTGAGCTTGGATCTGCACGTATGGCAGCATGAACCTTCTTGTACATCTCCTCAAGATCATCTGCCTCAAGACCCGTCTTGATGTACTCGCTAAAGTGTGACTGATATTTCTCAGGTTCATCTTCCATCAATGTCTGCAAAGAGAAGTTGGGCATGTTAGAGAAAGGGGGATGACAAGAAGTCGGAGATAACATTGAAGATCAACATCCCCGACCTACACATGGACTGTAATAGTCATAAATTACAAAAGATTCAAATATAAATACTTCTCACTTTCATATATGCAGAAACGTGGCCACCGTAGATATACTTGCGGTGAACACCTGCATCAAGTTGCTTGGAATCCTTGCCGAATCCAGCAAACCTCTTCTCACTATGAGGGATATCAATCCCACCATCCAATGCACCCTGATCCAAGAATCAACATTGCAGATAGACATTGTTAAAAGTTACAAGATAGGCAGAGCTTTTATTTTTGTTCTTATATGGAATAATGCAGATAGATAGAGTTAAAAGTCACATGATCTTAAAATGCACCTTAAACCTTGAAAACTATCCTCCAAGCAGCAGAGGTAGTACCTCTCATTATTATACAATCTATCCAACATGTGTAAGAAGGCCCAATAGCCCCAGCATTTTTTAAAGTTGGACAAACAAAACATATTGCTCTACTTCCTCACAGATGGAAATAACCATTGCTAAAGTTCTATATTTTGAGGTTTATCTGATTAAAAAACCAATCAATCAACGATTCATGAAAAGCAAAAACGCTGCTGTTACAAGAACTAAAATTTTCTATTAAAGCTAAAATTAGCAACCTGGCGTACTGATGTATAGACTTTAACAAGGTGAAAATGAACCAAAAGCAAACACGGGATAATACCTTGAGAGCACCAAAAACACGATTGCCTGTGGTAGTTCTTACAAGGCCAACATCCAGGAGAGCACGGAAAGGCCTCCTGCTTTCAGCAGGTTCAACGGAGTAGTCCTCCCCATTGACCTGTAATGATGTTTAATTAAATTAAAGTCAGAAAAAAAAGCAAGTATTGGGCAGCCACAGCAACTACTTACATCGAGATTCCCTTCATACTCTTCGTCCATTTCAAGCTTTTTGAGAACTCGTCTTGCCAAGAGAAGTCCAGTACAGTATGCTAAATTGAGCATTAAAAAATGTATTACTTGTATATAAAGAACAGACTTTCAGGAGGAACAACAAACAAATTGAATAGCTTTGTGTAAGTACCAGCAGCATAGTTTGTCAGTCCGACTTTAAGTCCATAACGAGGCAACTCATGAGCATAGGCAGAGGCAAGAATCATGTCACCAGCAATGCTAGCAGACACAATTTGTGCGATAATGTCCTTGTTAGTCTAGAGAAAATGTTAAGATAAACTAGGAACATTCATCTCCCAACATCACATATAATTGGTTATCAAAACATCCATTATCAATCAAGTCATGAACGTTCAACATGACGTTCAATGAACCCACAGTAATAAGGAAATGTTCTGTGGACAAAATGCCAAGGAGATCATCCTATGAAAGAAATAGGAGTGTAATTAAGTAGATGTTATGCAAGTTAAAAAGGGCAGAAAACTGCATTAGAAAGGATACAAATCGGACAACAAAACGGTATTTTGGTGTGTTGTACTTATTTTTGTCCTGATTGATCAGCCGATTCCTGGCTCTATAGTCAGTCTTTCCCTCTACACAGTATCAAAAGATTGAAATTAGTGATATTTTACTTGGAAACAAGATTGAGAACAGAAAAAAAAAATAATGACTGGAAAATAGAGCTTTACCTCTTCTTCTCTTGAATTTAACCTGGAAACGCTTAAAGTAAGCCCTCGTCTTCTGGACTTTGATGAAGGCCTGTAACATAATTCAGCAACAATGTCAAAACTCAACCAGAAAATAAAGAAATTCCCCAAAAAAGAACTAGCAACGCTATTGGAAGGTCAAGTAAGGAACATAAGCTTAACTTTAGATCTAAAATAGAATTGTGAAGTGGTTCAATCCCTTGGAGATAAGCAGTAGATGATGGACTTCATAAATTACGGGTTCAGCTAAAACCAAATATTCTTAACACAACATAAATACATGGGGGAAACCCTATAATATTTCAACAGATATTTACACTCAAACACAACTTAAAAATACAATAAGTCCAATGATAAGAACCTTAAAGGTTGAACTCATCATGTTAAAACCCTAAATCGGCCTCTAGGGATATGTTGTCATAAATCTAGCTCCAATCCGAACTGAATTTGCA